CAAAAAAATATTGATTGAAAGTGTTTTCTTTACCATATATTATTGAGTCAGCAAAACAAGAAACATGTTCTTTGTTGATTTGAATGAGCAATTAAGTTTAATTCAAGTCAAAACTAACGATGGAACTAATTCAACAATTGTTGCTGAAGGAAATTTCGCATTCGATAAACCTGATCGTACTGTACTTATTATTTTCAAGTATGTGACAATAACATCAGATAATCATCAACAACTTGATCAATTTCTTTCAATTGTTATATCTTATGTTGGTAAATTATTTAAATCACTTATTTGCTTGCGTTTACCAACTATATTCGATAATCGAATTGATATTGATAAACTTGAGTATAAGAATAAAAATTTACATTTTATGTCTGTCACATTCAAAGATTTGAAATATTATCCAGATAGTGATATGAAAAATAAACAAGAACAATATGAATTAATAACTGATAAACAATTAATATTAAATTATGCTGAACCATTAGTTAAAATGATGAATAGAGAAGGATTCTGGTGTACACAATGGAATTGCACAGATATGCAAAATCGAATCAATTCAGCAACATATAATGCAATGATTTTAGATAAAATAAATAAACATCCTTGTGGTTTTGGACGATTATTTCTATTAACAATGAATAATGAAATATTTGGCTATTTATCAGATATTGTTGTAGACAGTTCTCATCAATCAAAAGGTCTTGGTAGACTGATAGTTAACTATCTTGTTGGAATGTCTGTGAATCAAAATGATAAACAACAAACTGTTCATGGTACACTTTGTTTAAAATGTGCTTATAAAGGTAGTGGAGCTATATCTGCACCAAAGCTATATCAAAGATCAGGCTTCGAATTTATTACTGATATTGGCAATCGTATTGCTATTTTTGCTAATGAACAAAATTTTATTGGAACAGTCGAATAAATGTCCGTTGGATTTTTCTTATCATTTTAATATATAATTCATCTTTCGATGACAAAATATATATATATGTATATATCATTAAAATATGTTGATGACTGATGATGTATAGCTTTTTAATTATGGTATTATTTTCGAGATAAATAAACACAAAAAATGTCCTTGCTAAATGTAAACGAGTTCTTTTTATAATCAATCATTGAAACAGAAAATTATTATTTCTGTATTGGGAATTTGAGACTTGTTTTGCTTTCAAGAAGACAAGATTATTAATTATGAATATATTTGTAAGGAACTTCATCAAGATACTATATCAATTTACTTCGTTGATAATCATATATCAGAACGAGTTTTGAATTGTTGTTCATGCTTTTGAAGAATACTCATATTTTAATTTCCTATGCTTTTGTAAATACGTAGTGATTATTATTAATCGATCAATTCTGCTTTAATATCATAATTTTTATTGAAAAAAAAAATACTGCTTAAAACATTATAGAACTTAAAGTATATTAGTTGAAAAATGATTAGATATAACAACATTTGATGGAAAGTCATAATCACATATATTGAATTTTATTGTCATTGTTCTTTATTACTCACAATAATAGATTCTTTCTTCTTGTTAATAATAACAGTAGTAGTTTTATATGTAAGCTTCATCTTCCTGTCAGAAATCTATACTTGCCTCACAATAATTGATCTAGCGGAAAATTGTAGTGAATATGTGTCGGAAATTTTAACAGTTTACGGTAAACGTTTCAAACCAAAATATAAAACCATTCATGAGACATCATAACATGAAGGATCAAACAGTGGGTGTCTGTGTGACAAGTATTTCTTCTTCAAACCTAGTGGTAGATATATTTCGAGTTAGCTTTAAAATACAACCAAGATACCTATCGCTACAAGTCAACAGAGACCAGTATTTTAAAATATTGTTTCTTTATTTTCGATGAAAATTTTCTCTCAAAATGCTTTGACAAATCAGGCTGTGTCGACGGAAAAACATTATTTTCGTTTCAAAAAGTACATTGAAAATGGAAATTCTGATTCTATTTAGTTATAGAGCGCAGTTTTCTTTTCAATTTAAAATGCTTCCGAGAAATCTTTGACACAAGAACAGGAATCAATAGAAAAATTTACTTTAAGAGAAACATGAAACAAAACTTGGTCTAGAAAGCCAAGTTTCTTTCTTAATAAAATGGTACAAAAAAAAAACAAATCGTGACAAAGTATAATATGGTCAGTAAATCGTATTCGACATGGAGGGTCATTCATTTTCGTCAAAACCTCAAAATCGAATTTTGCAACAAAAATCGTGATTTCTAATAGGTAATTGAACTTAAAAGCTAGATGATCTCATCTTCTGTTTTAAGATGTCAATGTTTGTTAATATACAAGAAAAACCATATATATATTTAAAGTGAAAAGTGAATGTTCAGTCAGGACATGGTCAATAGTGTTTTTAACTTTGAAGTTTTTCTAATCTGAAGTGCAAAAGTATGACATCAATCGATGTGTGTTTGTCATGTTCAATTTAAAGTATTCTATATATCACATATATCTAGTTAAGATATTTAATTTTACAAAGTTTCAGTTCTCTAGCTAAAACCACAGCTGAAATATCTGAGCAAGATCAAAAATACATGAATTTTTGTACTAGATTTGTGTGACATCTTAAATTCTTGATCAATGATTTTATAAACATTCGATGGAAAGAAACTTTACAAAAGAAATTTTTTTCAATAATATTAATTCGAATAAAATTCGATATGTGTGAACATACTCTTCATTGCTTTCCATGACCAATTGTAATTGATCAGGTACTTCATCTATCACTTTTACATATTCTTTCCTTCAAAAATTTCCCTCACTCTTGTGCATTGTCTCTTTATAATTGTAATAATGTATCAAACACTTGTCCGTTCAGTACGCTTCATAGATTTTTCGTTCTGCATGCATTAGAAAATTTAGTGTCGCTATCTACTGATTCTATGTATTGACTAAATAATTATGCTATGAACCGTGCAATCCATACTCTATGTTGTTTTGAGACAATTTAAAATCAATACAAACTATTTTCAATCTCGTCTGTTTTAGTAACAGATGAGTATTAAACATAAACTTTGCCGTTAAATAAAAAAGCTGTCAGATATAAATGCATTCCTACAAAGTTAAAACAATCTTGAGCTACTCTACTGTGATTGACTACCTAGTAAAAAATATTATGAAAATCTTGTTATGACAATTCATGTATGTTAATGTTGTCCAGGCATCTTGGTATTAGTTTTACCTAGATAGGTGAAACTTAGCAAAATGAAAGATCTTGTTTAAATACATATATGATAAAAATTTTAGCATTGTTATGCTAAAACAAAAGTGTAAAAATATTATTGATTTCAACTATTATGCAATGTAGATTCTGCAGTCTTTGACATAGACTTAATTGAAACTAATCGTTGCCTACTAAAATTAATCTAAATGATTAAAGTTAACAAAAAGAAATAGGATAAAAGTAGATGATTACATCTATTTTAATTATATTTATACCACTAACGCATATAAAATAATATGCACGGATGCCAGAGAAAGAGCTGCTCAAAAAGAAACATCCTTTGATGAATCCTCTAGATTTTTACAATGTTAAATATATTTTAAGATTGAATTATATTTGTATTCTTCTGCTCTATACTTCTATTGAAATACAAATAGACCATTATATAAATTTTTAATATTATCAAAAGCTATGCTTTGTTTTATAAGTCAGATTTAACAGAAACAAAAACAGTTTTAGACAACAACGAAGAATTTCTAGCATGACATTGTATTTTAGTGTTTCTTTTATTTAGTTAATGTTTCTAAAGAAAAGAATAGAACGAAAGACATATACACGGCATAAAGGAATAATAATATATCATCAAAAAAAAAAAAGAATGCTGCAATAATAATAGTTAATAGGAATCAAATATTTTGCTTTTGTTCATATGCGATAAAAATAATCGACAAATATATTGATAAATATCAATCTTTAATTAGTGGACGAGTTGTTGTTGTTGTCGTTGTTGTTGTAGCATTACCACCACCAGTCGCAGTATTTGGAACAACTGAACTTGGATTCGATTGTTTAAAATTAGCGGCTGCTTGATATTGCAATTGATATGCCATTGAATGAATTTTAAAGCCATAAAGTCGAGCAACAAATTGATTTGTTGGTCGTTTTGGTCGATATTCTGGATGAACCATGAAAAGCATATGAGGAAAACCTGTACTAAAATATGCTCCATCAGTATGATGATGTCGGGAACTTTTTGGTGTATACACATCCATACATTTTGGACAATAGAGTTTAACCATAGCTTCACCAGGAACTTCTGACAAGCCAATCTATTGTGAAATTAAAGATTCATTACAGAAAAATATTAATAAAACAATACAATCTTTCACACCGGTAACATTGGTTGATTGTCACAATATATGCGAGGACATAAACCAAAATCCCCATTTTGGAATTTTTCAAGCATTTGTGCTATACCATTATTCGTTAGAATGTAACGAGCATGTATAAGACCTATTGCAAAATGTAATTGAATTAGTTGTTTTTTTTAAATTAAAAATAAATTACCATAAAGCATTTCGGCAGCTTGTTCGATTAAATCTGATTGATTTGGATTTTCTTGATTATCAAGTTCATCATCAGGCTCAAGATCAAGAATCATATCAAGTGCCTGTCGATAATGTGGTACTTGTTCATTAAGCCCTGTCTATATAAGAAAAAATAATATTAGATAAATAAAAATGACATTTTAGATTATCAATAACATACTAAATTAAATTTGTCCTGTATATAGTCTTCGTCAACTTCACAAAAAAATTCATTACCACGAAGACCACAGAACCATGAAATCCAAGAAACTGGTATAAAAAAAAAGTAACAATTAGTTTAGATGACAAAAAAAAAAACAAAGAAAAATAATTTTATATACCTTCTTCTGACGAACTCATCGAGCTTGATTTTGACTTGGCACCTCCGGCAGCAGTTGAAGACGATGAGTGATCGTCTTTTACAATAGAATTAGCTCCAGTCGAGGCCAGAACAACAATGCAAATAGAAATACCTGAAGAAAAATTGATTTCCTCTTCTAGTATAATTATTAACTAATGAAATTAAAAAATAAACAACATGCTTTTTTTATTATATAATATATATCAACATGAGATTTTTAAAAGAAACAAGAAAAATTACAAATTCATGTTTTTATATCAACAATCGATAAAAATTTTCTTTGCATCATTTTGCTCAAAAATCAACATGAATAAAATACATTCTTGAATGTTAGTAGGTGAACAAATCTAAAAATCAAACATAACATAGATTTCAAAAAGAAGTATCTTATATGAAGAAGAAAGAGATATCATTTTTTCTATATATATATATAATTCTATTGAACAAAGCCATACATCAAATATCATCTGACAGACACAGAAGGCAAAGGTTTAAAAATCATAGACAACATAACATACACAAAATGATTGTAAAAAAAGTGCATTGATTATCTTTTAAGAACAGACAAAAAAGAGAAAGAGATGAGCCAAGAAAATATGTTCGATTATCAAATTAAACATGAACCGGTGGTTTCAATTGTTTATCCACAACATAAAATTTTCCTTTATCACTAAAAAGTCCCCACAAAACAGCAGCTATTTCGCATACAACAACAAATGGAATCGTTGCTAATGTACCAATAATTCGTAATATAAATTGTGCATAACCTAAACGTACTAATGAAAATGATCGAACCGCACCAATTATATATAAATAAATATTAACAGCACCAACAAAATTTATAAGAAAATTTAATGTCCAATGTAATGGTATAGGACATAGTGGTGCAAGTATAACATTTAATGATGTTATTGGTAATGTAACCCATGAATAAAGTGCAATACCTAAACCAAGTCGAACACGAAGTGGTAATCGTATATCATGAACAACAAGTAAAATTCCTTGTAACCATCGTTTACGTTGTTTAACAAAATCTGCTAATGTAAATGGACTTTTTTCCCACATTTCACCTAAATGAAAAATGAAACATAATGTTGTTTATTTTTTTACTTTGTCATCTATTATAAATCTACTACAAACCTTCAATCCAACCAAATTTTTTATTTTTTGACATAGCTAACATAGCAAAATATGTGTCTTCAGCTATTGAACCAGCGCGTCCATTATCAAATGTAACCTCAAATTCACAACTAGCACGACATACAACAAATGAACCTTTAAATAAAAATGGTGGTCGATGAAATTTTTTTAAACAAAATCTTAAACATCCCAAATCAACACCAACACGCATACTATCAGCTAATGTTGTTATATGATTAACAATTGTTTCATTAGCATATGTTATAAGACCTTGACCAATATCATATTCGTTTGAATTAACAAAATTTAATATACCACGTACAGAATTTTCTGTTAATAATGTTTCTTCATCTAAATGTACAATATAATCATCGGATGATAATTGATTAACATCAGGTTCTAATGCGTATTGTAATGCACGTGATTTATATAGAGCACCTGATTTTGTTCGATATGTACTTGGTACAACAACCTGACGTACCATATTAGCTGTTAAATTGTGTAGATTTATAAATTTATCAGTTACAATTTCAATTTGAAAATTATCTAAACCAACTTTTGCACATGTATCTAAATTTCGTTTAACATTTGTATTAACTAAATCAGGATAGTCACCACGTGTAACAACACGTATACGAATTTTAGGTCCTAATAATGGTGAATTTAATAATTCAGGTCGATCAGGAAATATATTATATAAAATTAGGCCACATGTATGACATACAACTAATGGCAATGGTAATAAAGATAATAAACGTATAAAATAAATAATTATTGTTAATAATAAACCATAATATTCAATTGGATTTGAGATTAATACAATTAAATTTGATGATATTTTATTTAATGGAAATATATTTATACCACCGGCTATTATTTCGAATACGAAAATAAATATAATAAAACAACAAACATGAATTATATGACGACGATTTGATGATGAAAATATCATTATTATTTTATGCAATAGAAATCACACTGAACAATAATATTTCTTCCTAATAGGAAAAGAAACAAGAAAAAAATATATATATATAGATATAAATGAAATATGCGTGTGCGCAGAATCTTAATGTAACCAAAACAACATACTAATAAATCACGAACGCAAAAGAACGGAAAAAATGAAGGCTAAAAATTCTTTCGCTTGACGTTATTGAAACAAGACTCGCCTGACGACACTTTTTTTACGTAAACAAGTTTGCACGCATACACATACCTGTTGTTATGTAAACGGTTGCTAAAAGCAATGTGTAACGTTTTCTTTCTTCTGTTTCAGATCAAACTATTTAAGATATTTATACAATATATCTATGTTTGCTTTGGTACACAAATTAAAAACTTCGATCTTCGATTAAATATACTCTAATAGATATTTAAAAAAATATTTTCTATGTAATAGACTGCACGCCTACAAAGATATCGGTACTCATTTTCAACAATTGATCAATATTTGTCATCTATTGCTCTTTATATTCCAAGGTTTATTTTACGATGCAAAACATATATTTAAATACACCCTCTATCAAATTTCAGTGACGTAAAAACGACTAATCTATTGGTAATATTAACATTGATGATATTTTTCTATTTTGAAAAAGGAAAGAAAAAAAAGATGAAGAGGAAGATCCAAATGAGAAAATAATAATGAATCAGTATTTTTATATGATCTCAGAAAAAAGTAGTATGTCAGATGGAATTAAGCGTTTTTTTACCGAATTGGAAATGCTAATAAAAGTGAACGTGAACAAGGGCACAAGTACTGAACAAAAGATAACAAATTCAATTTATTATATTTGATTAACAGAGTCAGTGAAAACAATAAAAATATTATATCAAAGCCATAAGTACATCGTTTTTGTCGGTCGCGTAGGATGTACACATATGGTATAATATAAAAGAAAATGGACTATACCAACGAAACAGCTTCCACTCAGACATTGTGTCAAAATAAAAAAAGAATCTTTATTTGTTCTTCAATTGCGTTACTTCATTCTCTACTACATTACAACGAATGCAAATAGTTGTATCAGGTTTTATGACGATAACTACATATAAAAATTGATTCACTTACCATATCTGATTTATATTTCTATATATGAGTAATTCATATTCTGACTAGAGGCACCGGACTAGATTTATATCTAAAAAAAAACACTGAAATTAATCACCTCTTTAAATGCTCTGAAACTATAGTTTTCGAAAAAATTCAAGACATAATAAGAATTCATTCTTTCATTGTTTAATCATATAGAACAAAGAAAAAAAAACAAGACAGAGCATAAACAAACATTGCCTTCTTCAATGAATAGATATTATGTACAAACATGTCAATACGAATATTCTATTATCGAGCTTCTGGTTTATATTTTGGTGGTTTAAATAATGTCGGTGCTTTGCCTTTAACCGAATCTTTTGATTTGGCAACTGTTTGAAATGATTTCCAACTATTAACACGTGTTTCACGACTTTCCTAAAAGAAAAGAAAAATACATACTTTCTTTTAATTATATCGACGAGAGAATTCTTCCAACCGATCAATCAATTTGAAGCCCTACCTTCGTGCATCATTCAATCGTCAATGACATGTGAATACACTGAAAAGAGTTCAGATCTTTAGAGTATTACTGCTGAGTTACTCTATTTATACGATTTTATTTTTTTAGCTAATACCATGGCCTCTCTCAGAAGCATTAGGAAAATTTATTTTTCTAGTTCTCCTGAGAAAGACCATGGTATTTACTTGGAAAAAAAACCGTAAGAATGCAATATTTTACCAGCAATAAGCTTAGAATCCAAACTCTTTTCAATGTATTCATAGCTCATTAGGATCTATATGACGCACATAATTCGAACTTTAAAGTGACTAATCATTTTGGAAACTTCCCTTGAAAGACTTTGCTTTGATTTTTTTTGCTTACTTCATAATTTTTATCCCATTCTTTTCGTAATTTAACTCTTTCTTCACGTTCAGTTGTTTCGTCTGCTTTTCGTTTACGTTCTTCAGCTTTGTTTGCTTCTTCTCGAACACGTAATCTTTCAATATCAGCAAATAATTTACATGTTACTGACCAAAGAGATTTTTTATACTAAAATATATTTTCATAAAAATATGAAAAAAAGCAAAGAAAATTATTATCAAGACAAAAATATTACTCCTTCAGTAGTATCTTCTTCAATTGGTTGATTTTTATATTTGAGTCGTTTTTCTTGAATCTAAATATATATATTTAGAAAAATCCAAATCGAATAAAGTATCACATACGTATATATAAATAATAGAAAAGAAATTTTTGACTCACCAAATCGTCTGAATGATTGAACGAAACAATTTGTCGTACAATGCACACTAGAAGGAGGGTAAAAGAGGACCTATCGCTCGAGCGATCTCAATTCTTAGTCTTCCCAATTTTATGAAAGAAAATTATGTCTTTTTTTTTTTCTCCTTTTTCCTTTAAAATAATTAATAAAATACCAGAGAAAAGAAGGGAAACGAAACGATTGCAAAATATAGTCAAAGCAGAACTTACCATTTTGTCCACACGTTCTCGAGCTTCTTCAACAACTTCAAGACATTTTTTACGTTCTTTTTCATCTTCAAGCATTTTATATGCTTTGTTAATTGCTAAATTAAAAAAAATTAAAAAGATAAATCACTTGAATTAAACTTTAAAATTCTTTTTTTTCTCATCAATGATTAAATAAAAATTTAGTATTTAAAATGAAGTAATCAATATTCATATCCATTAAATTTGCTCTATGACATATTGTTTTTCTATTTATTTATCAACTTATTATAATACTTTTGTTCGCATGACAAAACGAAAAAAAAACAATAAAAAGTTCATTTGAGAAAGAAAATACAAAGTCTTAGTTATCATCTTGACATGATAAGAAATAGAAACTACGTAGAAGTGATATTAAATTATAGCCGACATTGTTAGCCGTTTCTTTTACGAGGAAAATTCTGAAAATAATGTATAATCGATAATGAATCGAAATAAATATACATGTAGTTCTTCAATCATCTATCATTCATATAGAATATTCACGTATATATCGAATAATGAAGAATTTTAGTTTTTCTATTTCGTTACAATCAATACACTCTAGCATACACAGTTCATCTCTATTGCAGAATTGGAAAAGACAGTTTCATGTAAAAGTTTCGGATTAGATATTCGAAAATGAGTCAGTCAAACTCTCAATCTTTTGATATAAAATTCTTTGCATTTGAGATCTATCTTCATGTATTGCAGTTGGAATATACAATATATCTAAATGTTTTCATTATCTTGCAAAAGGCAAAATTTTCTTTTTCAAATTGAAGTTCATAGTTTTGTAAACTTTGAAATTTTCTATCTTGTGAGACACAAACGAATATTCTGTAGGAATTAAAATGAGAGAAAAATTTCATTTACATTCAGTCCAATTCATTATGACTCAGAGACAAGTACGAATACGATTTTTGTAGTATGCCAGAAATTTAGAGAAAGATGTTATTGACTTTGTTGCTTCTTATTATGAATATTTCAGTTTAATAAAGTTCGCTTTCATTCACTAACAAATAACACATTAGGTTAGATCAGAGGTCATCTTGAGATTTTCATAAGACACCCAAGTACTACATCAAATAAACATTAACTAAAATTTTAAGTATGTTAAAAAAACTCCCGCAAATAACATCAATCATATAAAATGTGAAAGATCAAGGTAAATTACAAAAAAAAAACTTTATGTCAAATTTTGAAAACTTGACAATTTCATAAATTGATATTTAAAAATCGAAAGGAAAGATAAATTTCGAAATGTCTGTCTACATAGTAAATTTCATTAGATCGCTACTGATTAACAACAAAAATGCGAAAATCCCAAATGACATTTTAAATGTCCGTCAATAAAAAACAATGGTGGAGACTTTACATTTTATTTAAATAAAACATGCATACCTTCAAAAGCAAGTGAAGCTCGATCCGTCATTGTAGGATTTTTATCTGGATGAACAAGCATTGATAACTAGAAAATAATCATTTAAATTTAATAATAAATATTAAAAATATGATATATGTACACGTCGATACTGTTTCGCAATATCTTCAAACGGTGTCGATGGATCAACTTGAAGTACCTAATAACAAAGTAATTCTAATATTAAAAAAAACAACAAATTAAACCCTTAATTCTATACCTCAAATGGATTAAGATTAAAATAGGTGGCACCGGGACGAAGAAGTCGATTAATTTGTTGCTCAGGTGTTAAATTAGCATCACGTTTTTCAATTGCTTTAACCTATATAAATAGAAAAGATATGATTAATTAATAATTATTCAAATTATAAATTCATTACTTCCGAATGAAATTGTTCAAATATTTCATCTTCTTGTTTTTTTGTAACAGTAAATTCTTGTTTTATTGTCATAGTATATTCTTCTTTTATTGTTGTAGACTGTTCAGAATTTGATGATAATGATTCTTGTTTGATGATTTGCTCAGTAGATGAAGCCATCGATGACGTCTTATTTTCTGGAGCAAAATTTCTAAAACAAAATTACAACAATATAATTAGTAATGATGCATGATATTAAAATAAACAATCGTGAATGAAATACAATTGAAATAAGAAAAGACAACATTCGTTTATTATGGTGAATAAAAACCAATGACTATCATTTAATTACAACTAGTGTCATCTGTTTACTTTCTAAAAGAAAACAATCAAGAGTGTAATATAACAAGGAAATTACTAGAATTTCTTTGATGATGAAAAAGATTCTATATTGTTCAGAAAGAATGTGGAACAAAAGACATATTGAAAAACAAGAGGACGCCAGATGTCGAAGCATGTCAAAATCCCTTTGTATTGCACTTTAAACAATTTCTTTGAAAAGACACTGTTCATCTTTTGCATTCTTTTTCAAAGATCTGCTAAACAACTGTAGAACAAGAGACAAAAAATCTAATTCTCCTGTACTTCCGACATAGAAATGTCAACAATGGTCTTGCAATACATATTTGAATATGTGTTGTGGATTCGCATTGATAATGAATTGAACTTTCTCTGCATCGATGTGTCTTTTATGCGTATCATACTTATTCTGGAATCAATAAAAAATATATAGTCGTTTTTTTTACGAATATAATGTTCTCTCAAAAATTTTGAAGGTTAAGATGATTAAGAATTATTAACCTTTCATTATTGTTTTGCGGTCCAAACGGATCCACTTGAGAGCTTCTCGTATAAGGCTACAATAACATTTGAATATTCTATTCATTGTTTTTTTTTCTAATCCATAATCTTTTCTTGGTTCATTATACTCTTATTATAATGCATGAATATATCTAAGAGGGAAGAAAATAAAACTATAAGTCCAGATAAGCCCCACAGACAGATACGATCTCACAAGCATACTATTTCATTCTGCTTGAATTGCTATTTATTGTCTTTCAATTGTTTGTATGTCTATCGTTACTAGAGATGATTCATATTTTCTTTCAACAGGCAGAGATTTGTAATTCTGTTTTGATTAAAATTATGCATTCATGGTATTTATCAATTTGAAATTTAAGTTGTTTACACGTTTTTTCTTTTACATTTCCTAAATAAATATACAGAAGCTGAAAATGACAACAACTCCATGGATATGATAGACTTCATCAATTTATCCACAAAATAATTATATATGTTGATATGCGAACGTATCTGTAACATTCTAGACTGAAGTAATGGAATCTATGGTTTTTGGTATTTATATATCAACGCTACTATGAATACAGATTTAGACAACTGTTTTTTTGTACCATATACTTGGATGTTGCCACCATGGGGGAACCATGTCGTAATTGTTATGAAAGAGTACCTAGATATTTATATTATATGAATAAATAACTGAATGAAAGATAAACATTGATTGTTTTTGTAATTTTCTACAGATGGCTTCGAGCGTCTCCAGAACAACCATGAAGTTCTAAAATGAGAACAGCGTCGAAAGATTAATCCTTGTAAAATCTCAGCAACGAGTTGATCAAACAAATTTTTTTATAAAGTATCTGTTCATATTGGCATAAATCCCAAATGATACTTTTGTTTGATATTGATTAAATCAATACGATGTGAAGGAAGAGTTTTTGAATATATTGCAAATGTTTTAAAAGAAAATTTCTTGAAAATGTTTTTCCATCCATGCATGCATGCGATCAGTCTGCGAAGTTGTCAATTGTTATGACTAGTACTAGTCGGTGTTACTTCCACTTGCCACAAATGATCGTTGGTGCTTGCCAATTTGTTTGATTTTATCGATACAAAACACAGAGTAGGTCAAGAAAGTAAACTCTTCGTCTGTTTGACAATAAATAAAATAACGAATATTGACTGAATATATCGATGAGATTGCGAGATCAATAGGATTTACCAATATAGCACTGATCGAATTAGAATTCTTTAGAATTCAATGTGCAAAACGGAGATAAAGACAATAGTTTCTACTAATTGATAAAAAGAATTGCAAAAATCAATACGCTATAATTTGTTTTCATCATGTGATTAAAGTGTGTTCAGGATAAATCTTACTCACAGTATATTATAAATCAATTGAGATAGCAGCCTTCAGTTTACTATTCGATGTGAAGTTGAACAATCTTTTGATAAAGATCTCGCACCAAGAAACTCATTTTAAATAGGATACAGACTTCTGTGATGTTTACATCTCAACTGAATATTGAATAGCAAAAATAATGATATGTACACCACCAAAAATGGGTGCATATTATCAGTATTTGCGAGTCAGTTTATTGATGTATTGTAATCGGGTAGTACACTGTCAACAAATTTTTCATGACAATATTTTATCAAATTCATCATATGTTGTCGATCGAAATCCATTGTTTATAGTGAATCTCTTTTAAGACCTAAGTACATGCAAAAGATTGATTTCTTCAGTTCAAGTTTTAATTTGATGATTCACCACTTGTGGAAATCAAATTCATTGATATGGACTTTAAATCATATTCTAATGGATACTATAGGTGGATCAAATACTCTAGAAAACAACTCAAAATTATTTTTATCGGTTTATGTCGATAACAAAATCAAATACACTGATCTTCATTGGTGAATATCAATACTATTCAACACAACATACATCTATTCAGCAGTACTACGAGAATCCTGGTCATGACTTCCAGTAGTACATGATTCAAGTTTCATTGAACAACAATCTTAGACTATGCAAACATTCGGAAACTGCTGTTATAATTGTTCGTTTGCAAAATCGCAGATACTACTAAAGTAGAAACTGATGTTAATTCAGGCACATTTTAAAAGAACTAGACATTTATGTATTCCTCTTCCTGTCGGTTAAATTTCCTGTTATTATTCTCTTTAACTTGTCCTTAATAATATGAAATACACATAATAATCTTTGTTGACTCTCTCCTCAATACGAGAAATTATCGTGATAAAGCAACGTCTTTTCAAGGTTTTATAGTACTGGAATTCTTCGCTTACTTTTATTTAAGTTTGTCATTGTAAATAACAGAAAAGAACAATAATAAAGAAAACATCAATTGAAATATACTTTTTATTATGAAGAATTGTTGTTTTTGTGTAATCGTGATTTTTTTTTTCATTTTGTATTGCCACGTGACTTTTTCCAGTAGACCTTTATGCAAAGAAAAAACAACATGCAATCATACGATAAAATCTTACGTTCACAAGCTTGCTTTTTTCTCTAATCTCTTATCTGTTTTCTACTGATAATAGATGGTTTTGCATTATATAAAGATTCATTTATGAGTATTTTCATTTGATCGTTTATATTATCGTTTGTAACGAAAACAAGCAATGTACACTTTCGTTTTGCATTGAATGTATATTTCATATATCAAATGAATCCTCTGAAAGAAACTCAACGATACATAAACGAAAAATTAAAATTAATAAGATAGACATTAATTTGATTGTATCGAAAATAACACTCAAAATCAAAAAAAAAATCTTAAAAATATTGAATAATATAATATAAAATTATGTCTATTACAAAATATTGAAGTAATATTATGCACATAAAAGAATCATTTTTCATCAATTCAATTGCACAAAAACATACTGAATTGTTTGACATGTACATTATCCATAGTTAGAAGTTTTGAGCACTCAAAAAGTTCTGTAAGGGATTGAAAACAGTAGCAATCACTCCAAATTATTTTTGTTGTTCTGGAATGATTGCATATGATATAGATTTTTTCTAAAACTCAGTCTGATAAATGGGAAGAGGACGCCAGATACTAGCATGAAAAAGTTTCGAATTAAAAAAGAATCAAATAATACAATCTCTTGTATTTCATTTTTTCAATAATATGCAGTTAAATTTTTTGAACTAAATAATGATTATAAAAGTTCTTTAAAACACGTTGAATGTTGCTTAGTAATCTAATCAATCAAAAAATAAAAATGGCAATTGCTTACGTTTTTCATAGGCAATATTTTTATTTACAAAAACATTATTCTATTCATCTTAGATAGTTTCCAATCATGGTGATCAAAACTTTACCTATACCTACAACGAAAACTAATGGTAATAATCAACTTGGACCAAAAAAACCATCACTACTTAGTCAATCTGGTTTGTAATCTTGTGCATCGTTTTTGATTTAAATAAAACTTTTTATAATAGTTTCATGTCCGCCAGATGATCGTTCAGAACAACATCGTTTACCTGATGCTGCTGATCTTCGTCGAATGTGCATAATAACAAAAAGTGATTTAAATCGAATCTATGATAATTTAGATCGTCGTCAACGTGATAAAGATGCTGTTCGACAAGAACTTGAAAGAAAAAAAGAAATGGCTGAACGTTCAGCACAAATAACAAAACAATGGCCAAATACAATTATTGTAAAACAACCAACAAAAATTAATAAATAAGAATTTGAATTTGAATTAAATGTCTTTTAAAAGGGTGCTCGAGAACGTAAACTTGAATTGAAAAAAATTCGTGATCAAGAAGAAGAAGAAAGAAAAAAAGTTTTAGATCTTGAAGAAGAAAAATTAGCTGCTGAACGTCGTCGTGAACAAATTGAAAAAGCAAAACAATTACAATATTATGAAACAGATCGTGTTCGAACATTTCATGTAAGACAATTTTTTTTTAATTGTGTCTATTCTTTTAAATTATAACTTTTTTTTTCGTTGCCTTTTCGTTCAGAGTGCATTGTTACTTACTGAAGTTTTGAAAGAACGTGATTTACAAATTGAAATGAAAAAACGTATTGAACAAATGCGTCAAACAGATGAAAATGAAGAACGTCAACGTTATCAAGAAGCTCAAAATGAATTTTATAAAACTGAACAAGAAAAAATTGAGAACAAAGCAAAGTAAATTTCTTTTTCTTGAAACTAACAAAAATATAAATTGCGTGGTTTTTGTTTTGTCTTATAGAGATCGAGCAAACTTGGCTAAATATCATCTTGCACAGTTAGTTAATCATTGAAATTTTTCGTTATTTTTTGATAGAAATGATTTTTATTTTCAATTCATGTTTTTCTAAAGAATGGATCAACGTAAAACTCAACATATTCAAGAAAAACAGAAAGATCAACAAGAAGGTGATGAATATCGACGTTTAGCTGAACAATATGCACTTGAACAATTAGAATTAGAACATTTTAAAAAAGTAACACAAAAAGATACTAAAACTATGTATGATAAAGTACTTGATGACAAACAAAAAATTAAACAAATGGAACAACAAATAGATGAAGTAAATTAATTTGGATCAATTTTCTGACTTAGAAGATAAAAAAAAACATTTTCTTTTAGGAGGAAGATGATGAACTTCGTGTATATGCTGAAGCAAAGAAGAAAATTGCTCGTTTAAGACGTGAAAAAGAACTTCAAGCTCATCAGTAAATAATCGAAAATGAATTATTTTGATGAAATAATATTTTGGCTTTTTTTTTTGTTTAATATAGAGAAAAACAAGAAGTACGTGATCATATGATTGGTTATTTAGGTTCATTACAAAAACGAGCTGAAGCTGATAATGATACGCAAATATTCCGTGCTCGAGCACAAAAAGAAGCGAAAGACTTACGTGATGAACAAGAAAAATTAGAAAAACAACAAAAAATGCGAGAATCGATTACTAAACATCGATTTGAAACCGTATGAAGATTTTTTTTTCTTTATTAAATGATGTATTTAGATTTGTTTGATTGGAATAGATGAAACGACATGAAGCTGAACGTGAAATGGAAGAACGTGAAGATGCTGAAATGCGTAGAAAAAAAGCAGAATCTGATCGATTATTTCTTTTATATCAACAGGAAAAAGAAAAACAACGTATACAAGATGCTCAAGCTACTGCAGAGTTTCATTTGAAACAGGCTGTAAGTTAAATTATTTCACACAAAAATGAATGTTTTCTTTTCATATACGATACAGTTGAATGACTATTGAATTTGAACCTTTAGAATAGTTTCGTAATAATTTTTATGACTACGAAAAAAAAAAGAGTAGCTATAAAGATGAAAACCTTCAACAAGTGACTCTTTGATTCGGGTTGAACGCTCTACGATAAAGTTTAATGTAAATTTATTATTATGGACAATCATTCTTTCTGTTCATAATCTACACTCACAATGATTATTTTTACGGAAAATGTTTCCTATTTGAATAGTAATTGAGTTTAAATGTTACTGTTATTTCGATTGATGAAAATTACGTTAGACTAGGATTTGTGTTCAGTGGGTGTATTATTGTCTATATGCTTCGTGAGTAAATAGTTTAGATTGAATGAATCTTGCGTGTGCAGAATGTGCTTTTGATTTTAGCTACGAAAACAAGAAACATATAACTTGAGTAGATCATATCCAGCGGTCCTGATTAGGAAGATTGGGAGGCTTCTTTCTCTAAATTGTTCCACTTTTTGGTAGTTTTTTTATAGCTTCGTTGTAACTTTGGATAGCAACCAGAGCTCGGCAGAGAGTGTCTTTACGAGTGAATAAGATTGGGAACAGACAAGTTATAATGGATGTCGTTCTCCCTCTTACGTCTAGAAAATATCAACAATAACCCTGTTCATATATATTTGTCAATATGTTCGGAACGACCGATCATGTAGCATTCATGTAACGACCTCCATTGAAACAATTGACGAAATCATTTTTGAAAAATAAGTCCTGACACTCATACCTTTTTTCCGTAATTATTTAGCAAGAACGTAAAGATCGTCAACGAGACTTGAAAGCAAGTGAAATGGATGAAATACAAATGGACAGACATATGAATGAAGTAGAAAAACAACAATATCAAGATTATACAGGACGTGTTATATCATATATGGAAGAAAATGGTCGTAATACTTATCCAATGAAACGAGTAAGTCTTAAATATTTATATAATTTTCAATCAGTTGAAATTTAATTCAGGTTGTTACTGATGAAATAAAACGTTTTGATCAATTAAACCATGCTTACAAGAAAACTGATACACCAATAAATGGAAATGGTGAGAAAAAACCTGGTAGTCAAGATAAAAAGACATTAGATGAAACGAAGAAACATTTAGGTTTTCAATGGGATATTCCAAATAAATAATAAACATCAGCTTCCTTTCTTTTTGTATCCTTTATTTTTTTTATCACTTTTATTCACACAATATATACAAAAAAAAAACAATAAATGATTGATCGATAAAATTACATGATTGTAAGCAAATCGTTATATGAATTACGGGCTAAGTCTAATAACTGATCGCTAGGTAATGGTGTTGATTCTTCAGCAACATTAAAAGTAGAACAATATTTAAGGATTTCAGCTACGATTGCACCTGCAAATGTATAAGCAAAACTAAATCGAGCTGGACAAGATATTGAAAATGGTAAATAAGATTTTTCTTGTTGAGCAGTTAGTTCTTTGTTAAAACGATAAGGATTAAAATCAAGTGCATCAAAACCCCATACATTTTTATCACGATGAATCTTTAGAACACTAATGCATACATTTTGACCGGTTTTCACATTTGTTCGATAGATATTTTTAGTTGGTGGATATAATCGTAATGTTTCTTTTAGAATCCATTTCAGTAAAAGACAATTTCGATAAGATTTCGAATGATTATTTAATTGTAAACGTAGTTCACTAAGTAATTTTGGTTGACGAAGTAGTTCAAGTAATGAATAAAATACAACCCGCCACATGGTTTCCCATCCGGGAATGATAATATTCAATGGATTAGAAATTTTTTCATCAAAATCATTTATTGCTATTTTTGAAATAATATTTGAATGATTAGATAATATAGTTTGAATTTGTTGCCAAATATCCGATTGAGAAAATTGATATTTATTGGCTACAAGTAATTGTTGTAAACGATTTTGAGCATTTTTATCATGACGATTTTTCCACAAATGAATAATTAAGTCAGGTAATTCTGTAAGAAGTTCTTCGTTAGCATTGACATTAAGAATACTCAACAGAAATGAGTCTAATGTAACTTGTTTGGCTAATTTTGATAAACAAAACTTCGAATTATGTAATTTTAATAATAAAAGTCGATATTTAATTCGATTTTCAATTGTTGAAACAAGTTTTTCATACTGTTTTTCATCATTCCAACTTGCTAATGTTTTAATGACTTTATTTTTAAATGTGTTCAACAGTGATTCATCATTAATGGTAAATGGATTTACAATAGACAAAGTATCTATAAGCCATTCATTAGGTTTGTGTCGACTGTAATCACTTGATTTTAGTATGTCATGTGCCTTATCACCAGTCAATATAATAATCGATTGTTTGGTTTTGTTTTGAAGCAAGTGAATGATCCATCCTAAGATGCTACAGACAGCAATAATAATGATTATCAATAGTACAGCCATTTAATAGTCACAATAAACCGAGAAAAATGAAGAGCACTGAATCAAATTGGTTATGTTAAATAGTATCAAGATATTCAATGATTTACTAACTGCAAATATCGAATTAAATGCCTCAAACTAATCGGTATGAACACAATTTATACTAGAATAATGGGTTTTTCCCCACTGTTATTGCTGTCAAGGAAACGACAAATGAATCATAGATTAATCTTCTGTGTGATTCATTTTTATCATGTTTAAACAAAATGAAACCCAGTAAACTGGTTGAGTTGGAAAAAGAAGAAAGTTGTTGAAATGCTTTTTTATTTATTTTATAATTTTAATGATGTTTAATAATAAAAATTGCGGTACAAGGATACAAATGATTAAAGAAAATTATTGATGCTTTTTTTTCCGCTCAATAGCTAACTTGAATTATCAACTGTTTTATGACACAAATTTATTAGAAACTTGTGGGCTTTGATAATAAATCTTATGACTCATATTCTATGTGAAGTTGTCAAAGTCTTGCGACAACACAAAGAAAAGCAACATTTTCGATAAATAGATATTCTGATGATTTGAGAAATATTTTATTTTTGAAATCGATGAACAATGTTATGAAAATAAGTTGATAATAAATATAATTAATCAAAATCTTTCTTATTCGTTGTCACTATATCATTCAAATTAGCAGCACAAGCTCTTAGACCATACTGGGAAAATTCATCCAACTCTACAAATACATACATTTTTTTATGTATCTTTCCAGTACCAAGTTATTCATATTCTTTTATCAACTAAGTTGAATTAAAGAAAATAAGTTTATTTAATATTCGATAGAACTTGATGAGGATTTTAAAAAAGTATTTAGTATATAATCATAATCATGCATACAGACAGAGAAAAAATAAATTTTAAAGTTGTATATCAAAGAAGATCATCATATTTTCCCCACAAACTCTGGAACCATGAGCAATCATGAATAATTGAAAAGCCAATATTCATTGAAGAGATATTCTAACCATTCTGAAATGACTGACAAACGTGCTCACTTCTTTGACCTATGTAACAAATATATTCTTCAGCTTTAAAAATTCATAAGATGTGAGAAAAGTTTTCGTCACACATGTAAAAGTTTTCTCTTATCACTTTTTCTCAAGCCAAATTTTCTCGAAATTTGCCACGCAGAGAAATTTTTTTATTCGCTTGAAATCTATACTTTTATGACGATAGATGGCTTGTATTAGATTTATTAATTCCGTATTAGCGACAGAGGAATACATTACTGAAGCTGTTTGATGTTTCGAAGAGAAAAGATGCATTGAATAGAAACTCGATTTCTCGTATACGAACAGTTAGTTGACGACAAAAGTTTCGCCCGTATTGAAATGAATCTTTTACATTATTCTGACGTATGAGAATAGAACGCAACACATATATATACACAGAAGTTCGAGACATTTGCGTAGCACATAGTAGTTTTATACGTATTTGCTTCTTCTTTGAGCAAAGTGAAAATATGTGAAAACATCCATTTTTGAATGGCTTAGTGAGAGATAAGATGGATTGTATAATGTGAGACCGAAATTGCGAGCTAATGGATTTTTAGCGAATGAATTACAATTCGAAATCTGGCGCTCAGTGTTCGTAGTATTACCTGTTGATGGAGCATAGACAAAGCTTTTCCTTCTGAATGTTCAAAAGTTATAAGCTCGAACTCAATTCACACGATCCATCTCATTTCTTAACAACCCATCGAAAAATGGATGTATTCACATATTTTTTACTTTGCTCAAAGAAGAAGTAAACATCTATAAAACTAGCATGTGCTGCATAAACGTCTCGAACTTCTTTGTACATATCGTGTTGCATTCTATTCTCATATATTGAAACAATATAAAAAGATTCATTTCAATACGGGCAAAACTTTTGTCGTCGACTAAGTAGAATGCCTCCTTCCTTGATTTTATGCTCCGCTGCTCAAAGTAGCTACATTTCCACTTGTTCACTGAAAAGTTAAATATTGGTTTTAACGGAACACAGCTCTTTCCCTCAGTTAAGAGCACTTCAATAATATGAAAACATACTATAATGAAAGCCGAAATGAAGAAAAAAAAACTAATCCAATTCAAAAATCATTGAAGAAAACTGATTCTTGAAGTCAGTATTTTTTTAAAAATTGCAAGAAATTTGTACGTGAACAAACAATACTCTGAGACATTATCTTTCAATAGTTGATATTTCATCTGTTCAAGGATCTTATTTCCTAATATCACCAATGAAAATATAGTTGAAATGAACCTTTCCGTTCCATATTCGTTGAGAGGTTTTGCAGTATTGTCGAGTATAAATTTGTCGTGTTTTGTCGAAGAATGCCAAGAGCAACTTCACATTTATCGCTAACGATACTGCCCAAACTTGAAACTACTTTCTGGAGGACGCTAACATTCAAATACTTATCCAAACTTTAGATTTAAAATGCCACTTAAATTGCTACTACTGACTGTCTCTAATGTGTATTTTCAAAGCATTTTGATTTACGCATTCGAACTATTATTTTTCCGGTTTTCTTTATAGTTTATTTAGTTTTTCATGCTAATTTTGAAACAGCCCTGTTGACTCTTATATCATCAAAATGTTTAACTTAAAGTATTGTACCTGTATGCATCCAATATGGTTTTCTGTGCTAGGAAAGACTACTTAGAATAACTTATGTTCGATGAGAAAAAAAACAGAACAATTAAAACGTGCTAACCAATGTTACAGCAAAAAATATCATCACTATACCATCATTGTGTGCATCGTTCAAGGAAAAATGTCGTTGATGATCTTCGTCGATCACTTGATTACATCACGAAAATGTTGAAACATATATGTCTAGCAAATTTTTCCAACATTGGGTATTGGAGCCATGTGAAAAATACCCATGACCAATCGTCTCATTTCTAACTAAGCCAGACTTCGAAAGATCATATATGATAACATAAAATCAATTTTTTTTTTCAAAACAAATATCTACTTGAAAAAAAAAGATTCACAATAATTTATATTTCATTCGAATAAACGTTTACTGTTGATATGTACATCAAATCAACAGACTTCCGATCGACACTGGTAGATACAGATTATATAGTTATATTCTTATATCCTAATGTTGATCAAATTAAATTGAGCGTTTGCTCTATTATCGACAGATAATCTCATAGATATATATATATACAGTTTGATATTATTTAGTATGAAAATTTCATCGAAATAATATGCGATTATATGGAATTTTTTTCTCAATGCCTCGAGTCGATGATTGTTGCTCCTGTTATTTTGATGTCTACATTAAAATATAATAAAATGTCTTGATCATTCTTCAAATTCACCAATAACATTAGATTTGAGTAAAAACACGCTCTTTTTTTCAAGTTTATTCTCTTACTCGTAAAACCTATTTCTAAGTGTATACGGATAATACAGAATCGTTCATGTTTTCTCTTTTTTTTTAATTTTAATATGGTACATAAATAACCATGTTTTACTTTCAATTCGAAACATTTCTATTGAATACGTCTGATTTTCTTGCTTGTATGTCAATATTTTCAATCAATTACTCATTATTACCTAACGAATTGATCGCCCACTGCTTGATAGAGAAGTGCTAACTTAGTTGTTATCATTTTCGTCTATCTGCAAGATATATACACTTGAGACTGTAGTTGATAATGATCATAGCTAATTAGTTATCATTGTTTGATCCATATATTCAATTGGCTTTTATTCTTGACCTAGAAGTATGCTCAACTGAATAGGATATCAATTGAAGTTAGTTTCTTAAAGTTATAAGAAAAATAATAAATTAAAATCTCATATATGTATATATACATATATATATATTACTTCAAAGATATGGACATTTCTCAAGAGAAAAATATCAACAATAGTAAATAGATTCTTAATGATGATGAACAAAACAAAAGACTTGAAAAACTAACAATAACAAAATAATATCCACTTCAAACAAGTTATATTGATAGACATGCTAATCGAGCGATAGTATGCCGCACGCGTATATATTGCGCGATAGGCTCATTGAAAATGCCAAACTAGATCTATAGAAAAGAAAAATGATGAATCGCTTGTCTCATTTGTCACGATCATCCATCATTTTCTTGTGTCATTTTTCGTTTTTTTTGTGGAAAAAAAAACAAGACGACACAAAAAAATCGAATAAAGTTATTTCAACGGTCAAAGAAAATTAGTCTTCTCCTTCTTTCTTCATATATAACGTGTCATTCATTGCATAAGTTTGAATTTCACACAGTTCAATCAAAATATAACTTTATGCATTTGATTATTTCGAAGTGTATACAAAATCACGTTCATTTTTTTTTACATGTGCTACCTCTTCTCATCATCAAACAACCAAAATATGCTTTCGGACACACTTTTTTTTTCAAATTTCTAATTCGATGAGTTGTCGCCTTGAGATTATATACCGTCAGAAAACGATCCATGACGTTAAAAAACAACAGAATATGTTTCAAGTGATTTAACCGACTTTTTTGGACATCGGTCAAGAGAGAGAAGATGATATGATGACAATAGAACATGACACCTTGTCGTAAAAAAAAAGAGAAAAAGAAAAACAAACGTTTAAAACAGTGAGAAAAAAACAAGAATATTTTGCTTATCTATTCATATTTGTTTCTTTTTCTTCAAGTTCAAAGATATGAAGAATCATAAAAAACTTCTCTTAAAACGTAATCATCAAATTTTAATTGAATATATTTTCTTTTTTGATCTTAATATAGACATATACTCATAAAATCTAACAAGCCGCAATTATCACACTTACTCACCGTTTTTCTTCAACGTCAAGAGTTCGGCATCCTCTTCTTTAGAAAATTATAGAGCATAACTGTGTCAAAATCTTTTTTTTTTTGTCTTTTTTTAATAGATCATCATTTTAATGTTGTTCACTAGTCTATTTTAATAACATAATTTTCCCACAATAACAGTCGGATAATTTTTTTTTAGGTGACACGAGCCACGAGTTAAATATAGACATTCATATAAATAAATTGAGTGAAATAAAGCGATTGACATCCCGGTGATCTAATCATCTGTTTCCAGGTTGACAATCGTGCATAGTTTATATCCTAGTGTGTATGTTTTTCTAGCACATAACGTAAATGGCACGTGAATTATTGGCATCATTCGTTCGATTGAAAAGCTCGCTCATAATTATCTTTCACATTCCCATACAAGAAAATGAATGACGACATTCAAAAAAAAACGAATAATCTACTAATCAACTAGTTCGTTTTTCTTTTTTGTTTTTCATATTCAATTAAAAGAAAGAACAAGTCAAGAATGTCTTTTTATGCTTACGCAAGTGTACTGATAAGAATTTAAATAGGCTTGGCACGCGTTGATGAGTCAACAACAATTAAATATACCCTACGGAGAAGTCCGTCATATCAGTCAAACAGACGGCAGCCAAATACTTGCCTCCTGCTGTCCAATGATCATTAGTGCATTCACTATTTTCTTAGCGAAGTGATATGCTCAATAGGTAACCGAACTTGTTTGTCTTTAGGCATTGTCGAATAGTTAAGGTTTTTCTTCATTGACAAGTCTATCCTTCTCAAATATATATTTGATGTGCTATTGATGATGTGTTAAAAAGGTGTGAACAAGACCGAGAGTTCAAAACAAAAACGATTTGTTTTCACATTTGATCGATAATAATAGAAGTGGGTGATATTCGTTTTTTTTTTTCGAAGGTCACATTTTAATGGAGCATCTTTTAGAGAATCTCTCCCTCTTTCTCAGAATTTGAACATTATTTACTTTTGAACACAAAGATGTAGCCATGAGGATTGCAGGAAGATGCGCACCTTCCACTTTTAGAAAATTGTTTATGCTCTTTTTTAGTTCTGAAAAATTTCCTTGCATTCCTCTTCGACTTTTTTTCTCTTCGTCCCTATATTAGATATTTTAAAAAAAGGGTCATCAAGATCGTTCTTCCAAGTTAAGTTTTCAAAGTTTCTTAAACGTTACAACTAAATGGACATGTTAATCAGTGGCTTTATATCAGTGAAAATTTGATCACTTTCAACACACCTGCAAATAATGTTATATCCAAATTTTCTTTTCCGAAGTCTAAGGAAACATTCGTTTACTAATCAGAATATATATTGACGATCATGATAATATAGATTACATATTGATTTGCATCTAACCTTCATTGATTGAAAAACAGAACAAAATAATTAATATCGATTGATTTTGTCTAATAAAATTAAATTCGTTATTTCACTCAGAAAATCATCCCATTTGAACATGATTTATCTGAAAGGAGATGAACAATAGACTTGATGTATTCTAATTATTTGAGAGCTTAAGTAGAAGGTCATAATGGGCAAAATTTTTATAATCTTCGAGCTAAATGAATTTCATCTCACTTCTCAAATGTATGCATTTTAAAAACTCCCCGAGGTTGTTTATGTAAAGATTTCACTTACTAAATAACTATGGACCATGCTTGTATCAATACGAAATGTCTTTCTTATCAAATTTCATAATATTTATTTTTATCGACGAATGATAATTAATATCAATTTTAAAAAAATCAAAACTTGAATTTCAATCAAATCTATTTATTTTGTATATATTATTTACTGAAACAAATACAAGTGTGAAAAATAATGAAAGATAAAAAACTTAGGACGATTCATTAAGTCGAAGTCGTGGTGGTGCATCTTTATATTGAGCTACTTCATTAAGTAATGTCTTTAATTCATTTGAATTTACACATGTTTTTCCTTGTTGTAGAGCTGCCATTTCATTAGCTGTTGCTAATCGTTCACCAGTATCACGTTGTGTTTGTAAACGACGACGATTTTGAAACCATATACGTATTTGTTCTTGTGTTATACCAAGTTTTTGAGCAATTAAATCACGTTGTATAGCTAGAAAGTTAACATTATAATTAGAATCAAAATTAAAATCGAACTTACCATTTGGATAAGGTGTTCGTTTGAATAATTCATTGAGTATATAACGATCTTTATTTGTATATTGTAATCGTGTAATTTTTGAAGATGATTGTTCAGTTTGAATCTAAACATGAAAAGAAAATAATAAGAAAATAGTAACACAAAAAAAAATTAAATAAGACTTACAGATTGAGTTGTGGCTGTTGGCGTACAGATCTAAAAAGATTAAATATAAGTCACGAGCTCCAATAAAAAATGAAAAATAATTGTGTTGAATGACTTACTCCGTCCAATAATGAATATATTTGTTAAAGAAAAAATTCTTACCTGAGAATGTTGAGGAGTGAAAGGAGAAGTCGGTGGGGAAAATATGAATGTTGGTGATATTTGTTGAGGATAATATGGAGTTGATGAACAACAACATGTACAATACGATGATGCAGGTGTATTGAAATCAGTGTACAAACATGGTAATGATGGTGATGATGCATAGAAATTATACGATTGTGGATATGTATTCATGATGAAAAAATTAGATATGTGAGTTGCATGATGTTAAACTGCATTTTAATATCTAACTGAAAAATTTCTATCATTTTCTTTTCGTTTATCTATTTTGATTAATAAGACTCTATCGATCATAGTAATTAAGTGTTTGTCCTTTGAAGTGTTTTTAATTAATAGAGATTAAAGAACAAACGTTCTGTTTTCTTTCTACTTTTCATATGTTTGATAGAAAACAGAAACAACTTCGATTCCTTTTTTTTTTATTCTATAACACTTGTTCGATAGATCTTTTCAATATTTATTATAGGTTATTATGAAAACAAAAAAAAATGAAATTTTCTATGATTTTTTTTATTGAATTAAAAGAGAATTTATAATAAATGATTGAAAGTATAGTAAATGAGATATTGTGCACTATATTATTCTACAACTGGACTAAAATCATTTATTTTTGTATGTTTAATATAAAAATAGAATATTGTCGGCATGGAATGCATTTTGATGATTATCTTTCGAATAGGTTATTGTTTTTAATTTGACTAAGTTCAGATTCTGAATATGAAAGGTGAGTAAATCATTTTAAAACAAGGAATGTAGTTATACTTACCTTTCTCAAAAAAAAAACTATAGTAATATGTGCTGTTGAAAAGGATTATATTATGATGTAAACTGATCATACTCTACTAATGGTACAAGCTTAGAAAATTATTGTATTTATAACATCAGTGGTGTTGTATGAACACATTTTAGAAAGTATTTCGTTCTTATAATCATTACAATAAAAACCTTTTACAATAAATGTTTTAGAATTTCATATCTATTAATTCGTGTCAAGTTAATAGGAAAAAAATTGCCCAGCTGTTAACAGTCTTAGTAGAATAAGTATTGGAGTTAATGGATATTATAACACAATGATTTTTTATATAAGTTGAGAGCAAAATTTTGAAGTTGTCTTTATTGTTAACATTTATCGTTTGAATAATAAAGAACTTTATTCAATCAGTATTTCGAACATTCCTATAATATCAATCATTGAGTTCTATATAAACAGTTAGCTTCAATGGCTTAAACAATATAACTAAATTGCATGAAGTAAATTAATGAATTTTTTCGATCAGTTTGAAAAAACTTTACAGTTTTGAGCTTCTTAAAAGAAATTTCCATTATTTCTGTGATAATTATATTTAACTATACCAGCTTCGACTACTTGATATGTTATTTTGAATGGAATTGTATGACGAACATCTTGAATATCTTGTCATATATAATACAATTCAAGCATCAAAATTTGACTTGAATGTTTTTGATACACAAATACATGATGTCAATATTAGAAAAGAAAAAGTTCAAAAAAAATACTTGTACAATGAAACAAATAATGGATGAATAAAAAAAATAATCGAAGAAAAAATAACAGTTAATTGAAATTTTATATATTTATATTTCTACTGATAGCAATACAAAACTACAATATTTAAAAAAGCATCGTAATGGATTATTGTTTTAAAAAGTATATATGATTGTTTGATATCGATGAAGATTCGATGTGTTTAAAGACATAGCATTCATGTGGTGTCTCATTGCTATTTTTAAAGAATCTTGATGAATATTCATAGCTGATTGTTTTATTTTTGCATTTGAATGCATAATAATTAAATGATCATTTAAAACGTTTTCTATTATGTTATAATGCGTATTCATGTGGTGTTTATCAAAACCTTGTCGATCGGAATTATTATTTGATGAGCGTATTGATGTATCGCATGAATACTGTTTTTTTTGTAATACAGTATTACGAGACGTACGATTACCCATATAGTTTGTTCTAAAAAAAAGTGTAAGCCAAAGATAAAATATTTATGTTTCTTTTTTTTTAATTCAAAATACTTAAAATTTTACATTTGATGTATAAAATACTATCTAATAAAATGAAGTATATTTTGTTACACATTTATTCATCGAAAAAAAGATATACGTCAAGGACACAAAATCGGTAACACTTAGCAAATACTCAATTAATTTTGATATATTTTTGTTAGATTCTTATATTTTTGCTATCGTCATTTGTTATGATTGATAGAATAATTTTTTTTGCTTTTTCATTCTTACATATCTATGTTAAAACGTGAAGCAAAGGAAAAAAACACATCGATATAAATAATGCTTATCATTATGTAGTAACACGACGGTCGCATGACTTGTATAGTTTTCGTCTTAATAACTATCTATAGATCGACATTGCATATTAAAAACACCCGGATTATTTCTATTCATAGTTAGTATTTTACAATAAGATAATGAGTCATGCCCCTGTTACTTAAGTAATAATCAAGAGGAACAATTTTACAGAAAGGATGCTTGTTCTATTAATAATTACAAATAATTAAATCTCTAACAAACAAGAAATATAAATATTCGCTTTTATTCAAAATTTCAAATATTCGAGAAAGAGTTTTCTATTACGCTGTAATTTTTCAGAAATATTAGATTAAAATGTTGTTTATATTCCTATAATAAGATGTATGACAATTTCTTATTCAATGATTTGACAGAATCGAATAAAAATATTGATGACTAGTTATTTTTTGTAAGAGATGAATGTAGTGACTAATTCTTCTTGTAGAGGGTGAATTGATGAGCATGTTGATAAGTATCTGGCAACTCCAATTCACCTGTCCATAACAATAGTGAAATTATTATAGATCTCAACAGATAGAATAAACTGGGAGGTTCAGTAGCTCCTGTTGATCTGAAAAGATCTAGATAATCGAAATCTGTTTAATTAATTAATATAAAACTATTACATAATTAGGTAGAATTGTTTTTCTTTTTTGTTTTTCAACCGATTAGATAATTAAACAAATGTATTTAGTTCAATCAATAATGTAGTTCTTTCGTGAATGAGATCTTCGATTATGGCATATAGAAAGAATTTACAATAGAAAACTTTCTTTCCAATGGTCTTATTTTCCGTACATTGAACAATTGAACGACATAAGGAAAATGAGATTATAAAAATAAAAAGGATTTCTCGACATAAAGTTTGACAATGATCATTCTCATCTTTTATAAATATTTTCGTTCTTCTACATTTTATTTCTCATGGAAAGCAATAAAGAAAAACTTAGTTTGAATCATAATTTGATCATGAAGAAGAATATTCAAACACATTATTTGAAAAAAAAAACTCTAACAGAATATTATTGAGAATTAATGTTAGAATCAATTGGTAAAACGTGTGTTGTTTTTTTTATTCAAATTTTCTTTTTCAATCTAATCAGTTAAGAACTATTGCATATGATTATATAGCTAAATATTCATATTATTTCGAACTTTATTTTAATATCAAAACCAGTACAAAGTTTTTTTTTCATTGATTGAATAATAATATTGAACGATAAGCATTAAAAGTTACGTTTGAAATATATTAAAAACTAAGGACGTCCACGAGATGTATTAGTTGGATTTGCCATATCAGCTTCATGGGCAGTTGTTCCTCCGCTACCAGTACCTGATACATTTGATTCTACTGCACGAGCACGATTAGGACCACTGAGAATTGCATTATCGACTTCATTGTGACCAGAAGCAATATTATGACCTGTTTCACCTTCATGTTTTCCTCCACGATCACGGTCGTGTTTTTTATTTAAATGAAGACGGGATCTCACATCATTGCCCATTTTATTCAATTAATAAAAGCAAATTTATACAATCTACAATACATATATAAACAATTAGATTTTTTTTTCTCTTTTTTTTTGTCATCTATTGTTAAAATATAACCTATATGCGGCAATAACTAGTATAGATTTCATCATACTTACGACATTCATCGACTTCCACTTATATAAAGTAACTATTTACTTCGAGGCCATAGTCTTGTCAATAAATGATGCATATTTCTATTTACGCTTCATATATTTTCATACTATCTGCTTTTTTTACTATACAAAATTATTAATCACAACCTAATTTCTTCTTATTTTCCTTTTTTTTTATACCTATATTTCAATGGTCACATGATACAGATAAATATATGTTACGAATAAATTTTACATACAAATAAATATGATAAGGTAATACAAGAGAGAGCGCGAGACAGAAAGAGAAACTGTGTTAATTATCGTATAGTATGTGATATGTATCCTTGTAGATACAAAAACGACGTTGTTTTTTGTTTTTCTTTTATGAGTGGGTGTTTGTCGATAGATCATTTTAGTTGAATATTCGTTCGTTAATAAGAAAATAAAAAACATTAAACAATCATTCTTCATCTTTATTTTAATCAAACTAGATAAATTTTCATCGGTAATCAAAAATTATTTGAAACAAAATAAATCTATATTTATACATATAAATAAATAGCTTGATTTTTTTTAAAGATCAGCGTGATATTAGACTGAAATAATCAACTACAAGCAAAATATTATTTACTGATAACAAAAAAGAAATCTTATCTGTTTGAATTGCTCAGATAAAAACTTTTGACTATATAGTTTATTACGATATGAGATTTTACACATTTTTCGAAAACAGATAATACACTAAAATTCAAACAAAAAACCCAAACTTTAAAAAGTACGCGAATTTTCATTGACAGACAGTTTTAATTGTTCTTATAATAGAATGTAATGCTCTTCGCCGAAAACAAGATTGTCGAAAACTCACATCGCCGACTCGACATGGAAATTTACGGTGA